TGATTGATTATAAGAGCATTTACTACACGCACTTTCTGCAATAAAATTTGATATTGCCAGCCAAACGGGAGAAATGATTTCTAAATATTACTACATCAATGACACTTTACGGTAAGCAGCGTAAGAAGTCGTAGTTATCGATAAGAATCTGTAATATAAACAGGAATCTATAAGATAAACCGGAATCTGTAGTACAGATAGCTATCTGTAATTTCGGAAGTAAGCTGTAATATTGAAAGTAATCTGCAATAATTAAAGCAATCTGTAATAACGAAATCAATCTATAATATAGACAGCAATCTGTAATATCGAAAGAAATCTGCAATACATACGGAAATCTGTAACACAGATTAGAATCTGTAACGTCGACTATAATGCATCTAGTTAAGAGCGATATTCTTTTTGGAATCTTTTTAATCTTCTGAACATATTAGACTTCTATTGGCAGAGGTTTTATAGTGGATTGTTAGATTCCTTCGATTACCTTCGAAAACGCATATCTATGAAAACGTTTAAGACCTTTATGAAACTCAGGGTTTCTGCAAATATTGATAGTTGATTGATTGTCCTCAAATATTAATACGTTACAACTTTCAGTTATAACTTCAACATCAAATATTAAGTATCGAAGCCAGCATGCCTCGCTTACTGCATTATTTAGTGCTACATATTCAGCTAAATGCCTCGGTACAAGAAAGAGATACGTACCTTTCCTGAGTAAGCTTACCGTATTACCAAAAACTTTAAAAATATATTTAAAATTTACTTCAGGATTTCTATCGAGTTTGTCCCTTGTCTAGTTCGAATCTGCGTACCCTTCTATAACATTTTTAAAGTTATTTTTTTCAAAATCTCAAATTTAATGATTTCTGGATATATCTTTGCACCCTTTTAATAGCTTGCCAGAGCAGATGCCTTGCTGAAGCCTGATACCAGCTTAAAATATTAATTGAAATACCTAGATGAAAACGTGAATATAGCATAGAATACATCAGTTAACCCAACTTTCCCCAAGTTTCAGCATTTAATTAAGTAGGGTAATGTCACCTTGGGTGGACCGCCTGAAAGATTTGTATGATGTGACAATCAAAGTGTGAAACTAATAGCGTGAACAACAGCGTCACATCCGAAAACCATAAGTTAATAAGAATCGAAATGAACAGACGTGTTTCTGTGTACAAGCGAGCATTTTGTTATAAAAACCATAAGTAAAGTCCGAATTATAATTTTGCACATTATTGTGAATTGAAAAAATATTGTGAATGTCGAATTTTTAAAGATGAGATATATTTTTTCTGTTAGTTTGGACGTTGAAATTCATCGTCTAAATTTATTAAGTAATAATTCTGATGTTAGAATACAATACCGTTGCTCTCAAAAATGTTTGTCACCTTGAGTGGACCATCTTTTGTACCCTATGTTTTTTTCTTAATGCTAAATTTACTTTTTTATGGATATAAATTGACATTAAACTGTTTTTAACCTTTGTTTATCTTTCATTGAAAGAAGCCAGACGTGTTGGAAAATGACAGCTGCTAAGAGTGGTAGCATGATCACCATGATTTTGGCTGTGTTAGTGGGAACTAGATTCCACCTTTCTTGTTGTTCAACGAAGTTAGAATACCTCAAGATGCCATGGATGATGCTATTTATGCGGTTGGATTTGCCAATGAACCGATTTGGTTGGATGATACAAGCAGAATTTTTAAAATTTATGAAGCACTTCATTTATCACTTCATGCCAACAAATGAATCAAACTCAATTTTTACACTTTTCGATGGATTTTTACTTTGTATTTTAGGTTCAACCGATTTCGACTTAATTTCATCAACCGCCATGGTTTGCCATTGGGTACCATGGCGGTTGAAAATAATAACAGCCACTCACTCATATTAATTTGTTAAAATTATTTAAAGTTGTAATAACCAGAAGAACAGTTTTGAGTTTCATATTTTAACACTATAGCGAAATGAAGCTAGTTGTATTGTACACTGACAAAAATGCTATGAAATTTACAGCTAAGTATATCATGGTATGAGTTACAATAAATTTATTGTCCTCATAACTGTTATTATGATTTTTTTTGTAGCAGTACATGTTACTGCATATACATATACTAACTTTCTATAGTTTTTTTTACAATATAGATTGAAATTTAAACTTGCATTGTAAAAACACAATTCGTAATAGAGTAAAATTCCCTTACTGCTGTAAATTTACAAAATAGAGAATAAAATTACTTGATAAATTACTTGTAAATTTCTTTCTTGGTTGTAAATTTTCCGTATAGGGATTAATTTTACCATCTCAACTGAATAATACGAGCATATGAGGGTCCAAATTACCAATGTATACATTGTAAATCGACGTTATTATTTTTCCCAGTGTATTCAGGGTTTGTGAATTCAAACTGACGTGGTTACTGAAGATGATTTAAATTAAATCGAAACCGGTCTAACCTAAAATACAAAATAAAAATCGATTGAAAAGTGCAAAAATTGAGTTTCATTCTACGAGTACAAGATGGAATGAAAGGATAATAACAATGAAATCAAATGATTCACCAACTCTTCTCCCGTTTGATAATCATTCATCGCATCTATCAGTTGAAGCAATTGCTTCTTTACGAAATTTAGGTAATTCTTCATTCTTCTCTAATAGTACTGTTAAACAACTTTTTATATGTACTCATATACCATGTCTTCATATCAATTAGTTGTTCGTGTTACAACACGAACTGTGATGAAACACGTAACACATTTAATGTTTTAATAATCTAGTGCGTAACGTGTTATGCATTAAATATTATCTACCCTCTGAAATAATTTGGCGGTAAGTTTTATTTTTTATTCTTTGGCTTTTAGTCTATATGTTTGTATTTGTTGGATTCCTTTTTATCACCGTGTATTTAATAAAAGTGGAGAGAAATAAATGTTGTACTTTAACGATAATTTTAACGATGGTTTCGGCTTGACGCCATCCTCAGGAAACCACGTCATATGATTTCTTTTCTATTACTAAACATAACATTCGGTTTCTCGCTTCTTTTTAAGCTAGATGTAATTGTTTAACGATCAAATCACGTGGTTTCCTGAATATGGCATCAAGCCGAAACCGGTAGAAACCAAAAAATAATAATAAATACTATCATCGTTAAAGTACAACATTTATTTCTCTCCACTTTTATTTAGTCTATATGTTTGATAATTAAGTATTTATTTTTACCTAATTTATTTTACTGATATTTTACTCATAGTCGTACTCTGTAATCGAAATAATTATTGGACCGAAATAATAAATAAAAAGACATATATCATCGTTGAAGAGAAAACAGTTTATTTTATTATTGTTTACAGTAAATTCATCCAATTTTCATATTTTCGTATTTTTCTTGATTTTGACGCATCTAAAAGCAAAAGTGCAAGAGAGCAATATTGTTATGAATAAAATTTGCTATAACTATTGTTCAAATAGTTTTTTTGTAATATGCTCCGTTTCCCGAGTGATGCCATTAACAACTTGAAAAACTAACCAATTCAGCAAATATTCATATTTTAGTATTTTTCTTGATATTAACACATCTAAGAGCAACAGTGTCAGAGAGCAATATTGTCATGAATAAAATTTGCAATAACTATTGTTACAAAAGTTTTTTGTAATATGCTCAAGTGTTACCATTAACAACTTAAAAAAGCACCCAATTCAGCAAATGTTCATATTTTCATATTTTTCTTGATATTGATGCATCCAAGAGCAACAGTGGAAGAGAATGATATTGTTAAGAATAAAATTTGCTATAACTATTGTTCGAATAGTTTTTTTGTAATCTGCTCCGTTTCCCGATTGTTACTATTAACAACTTGAAAAAGCAACAAATTAATCCATTTTTCATATTTTTCTTGATATTGACGCATCTAAGAGCAAAAGTGCAAGAGAGCAATATTGTTATGAATAAAATTTGCTATAACTATTGCTCAAATAGTTTTTTGTAATATGGACCGTTTTCCGAGTGTCGCCATTAACACTTGAAAAATCAACCAATTCAGCAAATGTTCATATTTTAGTATTTTTCTTGATATTGACGCATCTAAGAGCAAAAGTGCAAGAGAGCAATGTTGTCATGAATAAAATTTGCAATAACTATTGTTACAAAAGTTTTTTTGTAATATGCTCCGTTTCCCGAATGTTACCATTAACATCTTGAAAAAGCAACCAATTTAGCAAATGTTCATATTTTAGTATTTTTCTTGATATTGATGCATCTAAGAGCAACAGTGGAAGAGAACAATGTTGTTAAGAATAAAATTTGCTATAACTATTGTTCCAAAAGTTTTTTTTGCAATCTGCTCCGTTTCCCGATTGTTACTATTAACAACTTGAAAAAGCAACAAATTCATCAAATTTTCGTGTTTTTCTCGATATCTATACATTTCAGAGCAAAAGTGCAAGAGAGCAATATTGTTATGAATAAAATTTGCTATAACTATTGTTCCAGCAGTTTTTTTGTAACTTCCTCCGTTTCCCGAATGATACCATTATCAACTTGAAAAAGCAACCAATTCATCCAATGTTCATATTTTCGTATTTTTCTTGATATTGACGCATCTAAGAGCAACAGTGCAAGAGAACAATATTGTTAAGAATCAAATTTGCTATAACTATCGTTCCATAAGCTTATGTAATATGCTCCGTTTCCCGATTGTTATCATTAACAACTTGAAAAAGCAACAAATTCAGCAAATGTTCATATTTTCATATTTTTCTTGATATTGATGCATCCAAGAGAAACAGTGGAAGAGAACAATATTGTTAAGAATAAAATTTGTTATAACTATTGTTCCAAAATTTTTTTTGTAATCTGCTCCGTTTCCCGATTGTAACCATTAACAGCTTGAATAAGCAACAAATGAATCCAATTTTCATATTTTTCTTGATATTGACGCATCTAAGACCAAAAGTGCAACAGAGCAATATTGTTATGAATAAAATTTGCTATAACTATTGTTCCAATAGTTTTTTTTGTAATATGCTCCGTTTCCCGATTGTTACTATTAACAACTTGAGAAAGCAACAAATTCATCCAATTTTCATATTTTCGTGTTTTTCTCAATATCTATACATCTAAAAGCAAAAGTGCAAGAGAGCAATATTGTTAGGAACAAAATTTGCAACAACTTTTACTCTGAAAGTTTTTTTATATTGTGCTCTGAATCCCGGGTGTTACCATTAGCATCTTGTAAATAGGGTGTTCCATTTAAAAATACCAAGGTGACCAATCTTCCGAAAAACTAAAAGCGATAAACAATTTTCTATGCTAAATTATTTGGATTAACAAAAAATAAAAATCGAGGATATATAAATTCATTTGAAAACCTTTGTCAAGCAACAATTTCTGACTTTATATTTAAATCTACAGATTTATTATACATTTTTTACCATTGATTATACCGACATTTGGTCAGCATGGGTTGGCAACGCTGTTTCTGCCATAACGTCATTATTAATACATTACTTTTTTCATCCAATCTTTTGTATGTTTAGAAATGCATATTTTTAAACATATTAACTTTAATTCATATCTCTTAAAGATTGCCTGATTTTAGCAACTTTTTTTAAATTTTTTTCCTTTGAAGAGCATAAATTTATGAATAAAAATCTGATAATCTTTGTAGTATACTTTGAACAGCTGTATAATAATAATCTATCTTAAACACTTGCAAGATACATGCATTTATAATCATTTTAATTGTAATTTATAATGTGAAAAGACAAAATTGACTACACAAGTTTCATAGCTACCAATTTAATCAAGAAACTTTAGTTTTCACATTTTTTCTACTCAAACTTATCAACTAAGTATATAACAAATAGAAACCTTTTCAATTTAATTGCCTTCTAATCATTTTATTAAATATCTTATTCTGTTAATTATATAAATAAACTTGGCTAGATAATATCACATAACATAATATAAGTCATTGAATTAAAATGCAAAACACAGCATCATTAAAGCAAATCCAACTCTTTCAAATCGACTCATAATTAAAGCTGCAAGCCCAAATTTAAGTGCAGCTCTAATAACGTGTGGTCTAGAAAAAATAACGATGAGTTTAAGCCATGTGGGAATGTTTTTATGTTCGAGACTTTCGTTGTAATTTTGCTGTTGTTTAGTTCTTCGTTCATTCCTAACATTTCTTTGGTTGTTGATCTCTGCTAATCTAGCTTGGATACATGCATATTTATCTAAATTGAACCAATGGTTCATGTGGGTTAGAACCATCATAAAATACCCAACTAGTTTAAAAATAAAAAAGAAAAGTATTATTTATATTAATAATCCATTTATAACAAACTTACTTATTCCTAACCTTTGTTTTTAGATTGACCCCTAACGTCAAAAATTTGACAGATTTAAATAATAATGAAGTTAGGTACATATTTCTTTCAATCAATAATAAACATGTTTATTAAATTATATTTTATCAAAATATGAGTGAGTGAAAAACAAAATAATCGTAGATTAATCATATTTATATTTATATTAAAATTTAAAATAAATTTAATCCTTCATAGTTGAAGTCAGTTGAAGTTGACATTACTAACTTCACGCATATTTAGTCAATTTACTTCTTGAATTATATCATTTAAAACTAATAATGCTTAAGAACTGAGTAGTAATCACTAAATATATACGGAAAAATAATCAAATAACAACAAATTCCATAAAAATAAGGTAATTCGTTAATATTACGAGTGTAAGCAATACATAACCTCAACATAACCTACAAAAATGACGTCAATACAAGAGCGGCTCCAAATAAAACGTGAACCGTTGGATAAATGGTCAATAAGAGAACAATTATGTTTAGCTTCGGCTGTTGCAAGAAGTGGAGATCAAAATTGGATGTCGGTATGCCGTGCGTTAAAACCGTTTGGAGATGCAAACCGCCCGAATGATTGGTTTCATCAGAAAAACTGTGCTGCTCAGTATTGGGCGTTGTTAGAGAATGTGGAGACCCCAAAACGTAAGAAAAGACCATCAGGAACTCAGGAAGCGGGTATAGAAACACCAGCAGAAAGTATTTTAAAAAAATTAAAAGGAGAACGATTGGCAGAGTTAAAAAAAGTTCTTGCAGAGGAAAAGAATGAATATGCACAGTTACAAGATGACATGAATTTATTAAACTCAGGTAATGTAAGTGAGGAGCAATTAGATAAATGGTGCAAAGAGATTGATGATGAAGAAAAAGAGAAAGATCAAGAAGCAGTGAATCATGCAAAATGGTTAAAAGAGAGGGAAGTGCGTAAACAGGAAATTGAAAGAGCATGGAGGCCTCTTGTTAAAGTTAATGTCAATGCGGGAAATAAAAGAAAATCTTCTGACAGTGTTGATAATCAAACCGAAGGGGAAACTCCAATGGAAGAAGGTACCCCTACACAAACCCCTGAAAAATCAGCTCAATCACCATTATTAACAAGCTTATTAAAAACGCCATCTCATGCTCAAACAGTTGCTACTTCTTCTATTTTACATACAGCAATGAGTAATCAAAGGCCAACAACGACAAATCCAACAATAGCAAGTTTATTAAATTCATCAACTAATGTAACAGTTTCTCCAAGTCTTCAACAATTAGTAAGCACAGCAATTGGTCAAGAACCGCAAACAGCAGTTCAAGTTGTTGAAACAGAAATTGTTACCACAGATAATATTGATGATCCAGATAACATTCTAACAAATATAAAAGTAGAGGACATTGAAAGTACTATCTTAGCGTCTGGAGATACCCTTCCTGAAATCAAAGATGAAGAAGTCGAAGTAATTATTTCCGATTTGATTCAAAATGGTGAAATTGTAGCTGATCCCGAGGAACATCTGCAGTTAGATGGTAACGTTGACCTCATGGAAAACTTAGAAAACGAACTGCAGGAGCTGGTGAAAGAAGAGGAGAACGCGGCGGCTTTAATCGAAAGCGTTATTCAATCGAAAGATGAATCATCCGTTGAAGTAGATCCTTTTGAATTTCAAGAAGAAGAAATTTACGATCAACCCCAACTTAAAGTTACAGCACAACAAGAAAAAGAAATCGAAGTTAAAGAAGAAGTTGAGGTTTTTGAACAACAAAAACCCCAAATCCAAGAGGCTAAAGAAGTCGTTGAAGAACCAAAGAAAGGTTCAGTAGAAATCGTTGAAGTCGTTGTAATGGAAGATGAAGAAATCGATAAAGAACTTAACAAATCACAAATTGAAAACATCGTTCATTCGAATCCAAAAATTAAAATTATCGGTAGTGTTGAAGATTTAAAAGAAGAAATTAAAGATGAAGAAGATCTAAAAGAAGATTCATGTGAAGAATCAACAGCCGAATCGCCCGATACAGAGACAAAATCCGATTTAGACACAATTAAAGACACTCCCAGTACAGAAACGAACGAAACTGAAACCACCGAAGACACCCAAACGGCCGACTTAAACGACGATCTCTTCGATATGGAAGTAAAAATTGATAAATCTGGAAAAGCAAAACGCGATTATACCCGCACTTCTAAAAAGAAAGAAGAAAAGGATTTAGATCTTCTATTCGTTTTAGACAGAACCACAACAATGGAGGAAGAACAAGAAACGTGTTCGGAAAAGGAATTTTCCGAGTACGAAAATATTAAAAAAGACGTAAAAAGGATTAAGTTGGATAACGAAAGGTCTAATAGTCCTTGGACGGAAGAGGATGATGTAATTAGTTTAAAATCGAAACGAAGATATTCTACCACTCCGGTTGATTCAATTCCGAATTCGCCAGGATCTACAACGACGAATGAAGAAGAACGCGAATATAAAAATTGGAAAAAATCCGTTTTACTCCTCTACAATCGTTTAGCGACGCACAAGTATTCTTCGTTATTCTTGAAGCCCATTACCGATGAACAAGCACCTGGATATCATACCACTATTTATCGTCCGATGGATCTTTTAACGATACGTAAAAATATCGAAAACGGATCGATTAGAACGACAGTTGAGCTTCAAAGAGATGTTTTGTTGATGTATAATAACGCAATAATGTATAATAAAACGAGCGATCATGTTTATAATATGGCCACGGAAGCTCAACAAGAAGGTATACAACAGATCCAGTTGTTTGTGCAGGCTCAACAAGCAGATGCTCCTGTTAGAAGGGAAACAAGAACTGGGGAAAGAGAACCGACGGGGAAGAGGAAAAGGGGGTCGGAAGAACCTACTAGAAGTAGTAAGAAGAGGAAGGATGATTAGTTTTATTTCATTAGTTGATTTTAATTTTTGAAAATGTTTACTTAAATTAAGTATATGTAGGATATCTAATAATTAGATGAATAGAGATTTTTTATTGTTTAAAGTTGTAAATTTTTGGAATACAATTTGAAATAAAATTTAACGATAAAAATTAAAATTGGGATTACTTTACTTTAATGTTAGTTTTATTTTTATTTCTCAACTTAAATTAACAACATTTTTATGCAAATTGGTCAGTAGTTCACAAAAGCATAAAATAATTGGATAACGAAAATATTTTCTAATACAGGGTCATCCACGACGACCGTTCATTAGAACTTTACAGGGTTCTAGCCAAGACAAAAATTTGAAAATTCAGATTTAAGTATTATTAATTGCGTTCTCTTCGACTAAAATATTTTCACATTTCTAGCACTTCCGGTTATACCGGAAGTCGCCACCTACTTTATTTTTTTCAATGGAACACCTATATATTTTTACATATTTGAATCTGTTTTCAAGGTTTATGAATAACTTTACTTTTTGCAATTTGATTCGGCCGTTCTCGAGTTATTCGAATTTTTCTAGAAAAATCTGCTCCAGCAGACATTTGTTAAAAAAATCAGAGAACACTCGATTTTTGGGATATCAATTTAGGATTCAGAACAAACGTAAGCAACATGATGGAGTATGTTTTGGTGCCGAGTACGGCCGTCTAGAACGTTTGGTCACTTTACTACGGCACGTTAACTTTTCGAAATTTGGAAATACCATAACTTCATTTTTTTAAATGGCACCCCCCATATTTTATTACTTAGTCGTCTTGGGTGTCTCATTTTACATCTTTTATATCCCATATGTCCTATACCTAACATTTATAGTTTGGGAGATAATTACGGTTTTTTGAAAAATGCACACATATATCGATATTTAACCTAGTGTGACCTAGTGTATAACCATATGAAGTGGCTTTTTGAAAATTTACAGACTTCTGATGTTTGATGCCAGCTTTTTAGTATAATATTTTCAGGTTCCGGGTACTTGCGGTTACACCGGAAGAGGTGACAATTTTCATATTTCAAATGGAACACCTGTATTTCATTACATTTTTGATATTTTTGTTCAATTTTAGGCCATTTGTATGTTGCAGCCGACATGTATACGCAATTATTTGGTTGCACTCTTCATAAATTATTATCAAATTCAAATAATACTCATTACTAAATTCCAAATGTGGCGTTTCTTGAGAACAGATCACTACAAAAAGTAACCTAGTTATCACACCAACAGAAATAAACCATAGCTTTAGCAAATGTCAAACTGTTTACTCTTTCCTTACGATCCTCTGATAATACATACCCACAACAACATTCCACAACACCAAATTTTTTTCCGGCGGTCAAACTAGATGATTTATAAATTATAAAAAGTAACGTTGTAGTTGACATTTTTGATTGAAAAATGTAATAAAACTCAGGGTGGTCCATTTGAAATATGAAAATTGTCACCTCTTCCGGTGTAACCACAAGTACCCGGAACCTGAAAATACTTTAGTTAAAAAGCTCGCATCAAACATCACAAGTCTACAAATTTTCAAACTTCCACTTCATCCGGTTATTCACTAGGTCGCACTAGGTATTCATGACACACTAGGTTAAATATCGTTATGTGTGTGCATTTTTCAAAAAACCCTAATTATCTCCCAAACTATAAATGTTAGGTATATTACATATCGGATATAAAAGATGTAAAAAGAGACACCGAAGACGACTAAGTAATAAAATATGGGGGGTGCCATTTAAAAAAATGAAGTTATGGTACTTCCAAGTTTCGAAAAAGTAACGTGCCATAGTAAAGTGACCAAACGTTCTAAACAGCCATACTCGGCACCAAAACATACTCCATCATATTGCTTAAGCATGTTCTGAATCCTAAATTGATATCCCAAAAATCGAGTGTTCTCTGATTTTTTGAACAAAGGTCTGCTGGAGCAGATTTTTCTAGAAAAATTCGAATAACTCGAGAATGGCCGAATCAAATTGCAAAAAGTAAAGTCATCATAAACCTTGAAAACAGACAAATCCAAATATGTAAAAACATACAGGATGTTCCATTTAAAAAAATAAAGTAGGTCGCAACTTCCGGTATAACCGGAAGTGTTAGATATCTGAAAATATTTTAGTCGAAGAGAACGCAATTGATAATACTTAAATCTGAATTTTCAAATGTTAATTTTAGCCAGAACCCTGTAAAGTTCTAATGGACGGTCGTCGTGGATGACCCTGTATATACAACCCAACAATAACTAGTCGATGTTATTATACAGCGTGTCCCGTATCTTCCGCATCAGAGCATTATACGGTTGTAGGATACATTATTCTGAAGCGATCTTTCTAATAAAATTTTTTCGAAATGTTTATAATAACTGCACGGGAACTGTTTAAAGGAACTGTTTTTCGTCCAATCAGCAGATCGCAAATCAGAGTCAGGTAATCGGTGCCACCCTCGGCCGGTCCGCTACGCCGATGATAACTCGTTTCCCACGTGTACTCACCAATAAATTCGTCATGGAAAGAGAAATAAACTTTTTCGATGAATCAAAGTTGTCCGTTATTGGTCGTCGTTAAACAGTTCCCGTGCGGTTATTATAAACATTTCGAAAAAAATTTATTAGAAAGATCGCTTCAGAATAATGTATTCTACAACCGTATAATGCTCTGATGCGGAAGATACGGGACACGCTGTATACCGGTAAGATAATCACTGTTCAGTCCTCAGATATGTGTTCTACAATGGGGCCGTTACCATCAATCGAATAAAAGGACCGTCTTCCAAAAAATCGATAAACTATGCAAAAATAGAAGGATTGGTAACATTTTTAGATCCCAAAATTGTGTAATTTTTGCAATAATATTAAAGTTCAAAATCCCCTCTATAAACGCTTTGGTGACGTTTACAAACGTTCACAAATGCATCGTTCTTCTTCTAGATCTCTTCTTCTAGCGCATATGATTGTCGCGGCATCTCGCTCATGCATCTTTTATTGATTTTTATTTCAACCAACCGTGTGCGAAACGACATTGACGTGTCCCAAGTTTTTTCAAATTTTTATTATATTTTTTTTGGAAAAGCTAAGTGAAGTCTTCAATTTTGCTAAACTATCGAATAAGCCGATAAAGAAAATTGTGTAGCGGCCCCATTAAAGATTATGAGTACTAAATTCCCAAACGCAAAGTCGTTTTCATGTAAAATTGAAATAATTGGGAGCAGGTGCGTAGCTACCGCAGTAACAGCTGTATCAATGATACAGGGCCCCCGAGGTTGGAGGGCCCCGACCTTCGAGGGCCTCTACATTACAAGTTTCAAAGGATCCAGAATCGTATTTCAGAGTCAACATATTTTATTGCTGTACCGATATATTGATTGCTAAAACAAAACAAAGATTTCAGGCATTGCATAATGTGAATATATTTGACGTTTTACAACCGGATGAATTACATTCATTTTGAAATGAAAAAATACAAAATAAAACAGCAAGGTTGGCCAGCAAATATCGAAAGGATTTAACAGTTAATTTATATGATTAGCTAATTACTTTCAAAAGTTGCTTAACCCAGATATGCCTAATGTACTACATTTAGGACGGTCAATTCCTGTTGAAACTTGCAAGGTCATGAGCGCCTGGAAATGCGCACGTCACATGAAGTCGTGCATTTTAGATGTAGCAGTGAGAGTGATAACTTGCAGTTTAGGTGTTTTCTTTAGATTTTGTTTTAAGTGCATCCGAAAGTCAAGATAAGTTGGAAATGGATTATTGCAGAGGGTTTTCGCTTCATGAAGCCCTTGCTATGCTTGAGGACAATGACGACATTGTCAGCCAGGTTGATGAAATAACTATATTTCCTCCTGTAAACGCTGCAGCCGACCTGACAGATGAAGATTCTGGAGCAGAAAATGATCTTACAGTGAATAACCTACCGGCATCACAGTTACAAGCGCCGGTGGAAATCGTAATTGAAAGTAACTACGACAGTGATTTTTCATCAGATGACAATATACCTCTATCAGAGTTACAATCACAAAACACGGCAGCAAGAAACAAACAAAAAGTAAAAACTAAAAAAAGACAGATGCACTACAGTTGGATAAAAGAAGATTTGAAATTACCGCCCACCGACTTTGATAGTCCTACGAATTCGGCGATCACAGAAAACACCTTAGAGCTTTTCTCAAAATTTTTTGACGAAGAAGTAATAGAATTGATTTTGAATCAGAGTAATAAGTACGCACAACAAAAAAATAGAAAAGCAGGAAGTAAACGCTTTTATAGGCGTTTTGATATTTAGTGGATATATGCAAGTACCGAGACGGAGGATGTTCTGGGAACGTGAAAAAGATTGCCATAACGTCATGATTACAGAAGCAATTACAAGGGACTATAGTTCCGTATTATGGACGTCATAGCTGTAAGCAGTATATTCGAGGAAAACACATGCGCTATGGATATAAGTTATGGGTAGGAAGTACCAGGTTAGGTTACATGAATTGGTTCGAACCTTATCAAGGAGCCTCTACAAATATAAGTGAAAACTTTTCTGAATTGGGAGTTGGTGCTGGAGTGGTCTTAGAATATGCGCAAGCTTTACGTAAGGAATGTCCAGATAAAAAATTTCATCTCTTTTTTGATAACTTCTTTACGTCAATTCCGTTGATCGAAAAACTAACTGACTGGAATTTTTATGCTACTGGTACGGTTAGAGAAAACAGGCTAAAAGACATTTCTCTTATAGATTCAAAACTCATAAAGAAGCAGCGCAGAGGAAGTTATGATTATGCAAAAATTGTAGAACAGAATATAATTGCAGTAAAGTGGCACGATAATAGTGTAGTTTCTGTTTGTTCCAATTTTTCTGGAGTTGCCCCAATTCACTCGGTCACACGTTATTCGCAAAAAGAAAAGAAGAATATTCAGGTGCAGCAGCCGCATCTTATACAGATGTACAATACTAATATGGGAGGTGTCGACCGCTCTGACCAAAATATCAGCTTATATCGAATTTCGATCAGAGGAAAAAAAACGGTATTTTCCTTTGATATCTCACTGTATTGACATGGCAATTCAAAACGCATGGCATTTGCATCGCAAGAATGGAGGAGAATTAGATCAACTTA